ATGACCGAGACACCGTCACAACATGATTGGGACACCATCACAACATAACCGGGACACCATCACAAGGTGACCGGGACACCGTCACATGACCCGGACACCATCAAAACATAACCGGCACACCGCCAAAACATGACCAGGACACCATCACAACATGACCGGGACACCATCAAAACATGACCGGGACACCGTCACAACATGAGCGAGACACCATCACAACATGACTGGGACACCGTCACAACATGACTGGGACACAATCACAACATGACCGGGACACCATCAAAACATGACCGGGACACCATCAAAACAGGACCGGGACACCATCACAACATGACTGGGACACAATCAAAACATGATCGGGACACCATCACAACATGACCGCGCCACCATCACAACATGACTCGGTCACAATCAAAACATGATCGGGACACCATCAAAACATGACCGGGACACCAGCATCACATGACCCGGACGCCATCAAAACATGACCGGGTGTCCGCCCACCAGCTCTGACGGTGACCCGACGGCGCCCGTCCGCCTATTAGTTTTGCAAGACCCCATAGCATGGCTATTGGGGAAAAAACTCTTTGCGCAGCAAGGAGAAGGCAGACAAAGGCGAAATGGCAAATGACGTGCCTTGGATAAGACTTCCAGATGTCTTGACATTCTTTCTTTTTCAAGACACGAATCTGGCTTGTTCAGATTGATTGTGAATGAGTGTAGCAAGCAATGAATTGTATCTTGCAGACTTGTCATGCACACAAAGTCCTTCTCGTGAAGAAGATCCTAGAAGCAACTGCTCAGTGCTTGTCAGATGTTGGACAAGCTTCTCTCCACCAGCAGTGTCGAGATTTTTCCGGTCCAGCTTCCGACAAAGGAGATTCAACTAAGACTAAGATCATCCTTTTTCTTTCAACGTTGTACTAGTAGTAACAAGAAGCTACTAGTAACAAGTGCATCGCTTCTAGTAACAAGTGCCTTACTAGTAGTAACAAGAAGCTACTAGTAACAAGTGCATCGCTTCTAGTAACAAGTGCCTTACTAGTAGTAACAAGAAGCTACTGGCCATGGCTGTCACCCGAGAATTCGGAAGGAGACTTGCTTCCAGGGAGTCAGTGTGTGCGCTGCCGCACGGATTGAAGCTCCTTGAACTCCCTTAGTACACTGGCTTCCCTTGGCTTCAATGATCGAATTGGCTCCTTGAGCACAGGTATTTGGATGACAAGGGTGTTGCGAAAAATCTGGAGGCCCAGCATCCAAAGGTTGCTTACTTTCTTGTTTTCCCACACTCTTGTGGTGAGAAGGTCAGGGCTTCAAGCTTTGGTCACAAAGTCTTTGTGCCAGGAGAACATCCGGGTGTCTAGTTTGGTGCAGGAAGGGGCCTCAGATGCTACGTACCAAAACTTGCCAAGATGTGCCTTAGTATGTGTGAGGTTGGCCAGTTAATATGCAATGGCAATGCCTTTATATTGAGACAAGGCCTGTGGTTATCCGGGCCAGACTATTCGAGGGGATTGCTTCATCGGCAGGGTCTTCGACGACACTCAGGACGATCTTGCTCTATTTTCTTTTGATTCTCAAGACCAGGGAATGAGGATCAGCTGTTTGCCAGCTTGATGTGTTTGCAATCTGAATGACCAAAAGCACCCACCAGCCGCATGTGCATGTGGTTCAAATGTGACAAGCGTTGCAACAACATTTGTTCAAAACACAGACAGCTGTTCCTAGAAGCTTCTTGTTACTAGTAGTAAGGCCAGGAGCTACTAGTAGCGTCCTTGCTCCTAGTAGCGATGCCCTTTGTTCCTAGTAGCGTCCGTGTTACTGGGCCTGTCACTCCTCTCCAGCTACTCCAGCTTCAAGCCATGAGCGTCAGCAACCCTCCGGGCTCTACAGTGCTTGAGCTCCTCTCGTTCGCGTCCCCAAAGCCCAAACAAGTAACTATCTTTGACGGAGTTAGTGCCCGGAAAAGCACTCTCACAAAAGCAGCAGATGTTTGTTAAGTTTGTTCATTCGGAGTTTAATTTATGAACGCGGCCACGGCCACACATGAAGTTTGCAAAAACTTGTGAACATGATTTTTCTCAACGGTGTTTGTGGTTGAACTGTTGGGCCCTTCAGATGCTGGCTCAAGCAAGATTTTATTGCTTGTTGCAGTGCATTGTGCAGGACGAATGGAGGCGCATGGACTTCACGCTGAAGGCCTTCTTCGACTGCGCGCTTCTGGCTTTCCAATTCGTCCTTTCCATGAGCTTTCCAGGACTGTAGTACCGATGCAGAGTGGATCCACGTCACCAAGATGCAACGTGCCAACAGGCACGCAATGGCTGAGCTACAACGGCTTATCTTGTCATCTCGCATCTTCTCGCGCACTTTTGCTTCAGGAAGTCGGGTGATTTGCAAAGCATGGCCAACTCGATTGGAGTTAACAACCCTGCTCAACCGGCATGTGTTGAACACATGTCAGCAACTGAAGTGTTACTGCTTTGGCAAGTACCCAGTATATTGAGATGGTCAGTGACGTCTCAACTTGGCTAGTTGCACTTAATCGCCTTGAGGCACGCATTGACCCATCCATGCTTGCTGATTCAGCGCCGAAGGGTGAGACTGCAGACTATTCCTGGAAGCAGGCAACTGGAGCTTGCAGAAGAAACGTTTGTTCCACAGACTCTACCAGCTGTACAAAGTATGTTGTTTCTGCAACGCAGCAATTTGATTGATGAGGCCACACCCTAGCAACAAGTGGCATCATGCAGAGACAAAACAACTTCTTGGTGTCAACAATGAAAAAGCAAGTGGTGTTTGCTGTGGCTTGTCCAGTCTGAAGATGAAGTAGAGGCGCCGGACTTGCTTTCTGACGGCTGAGAGACACTTTAAACTTTAAACACATACCTCAAACCTCGTAAGATGCCACGGCACCTGCTTTTGCGTTGACACTCGACTTGAGCTGCGCTTGACCTTCGGCAGCAGGTTACCTTCAAGAAAGAAGGTTTGCAGAAAGGCGATAAGAAATACGTGAAAGTCAGCTGGCCTGAGCTTTTTTATTTTTTCTTGTGGGGGGATGGGCGGAGGCGATGAAGAACTGGGGGTAGTGGAGAAAGGCAAGTAGGCAAAATGTCGCATCTTCAATTGTCAATAATAGAGGTCAATAGCCATTAGGGACAGAACGCAGAATGGGTTTAGGGTTAGGGTTCTTCAAGGTATCAAGCTGCCGCCCTGAACCTTTGCATGGTCGATCTTTTACGAAAGTGTCATGCTTCGTGAAGATTGTGAAGCTGGCGAGAGAATGCACGTTGTGAGGTTGCATTTGGAAGGAAGCGCCTGCGAGTAGAGGTCAAAGACCAGGTCGGAGATTCCGGGAGTCATATGCTTCAAGCCTCGCTTTGCTATTTTTGGATAGTTTTGGCTTGGAGCAGCTGATACACTCAGCTTCAGACTGCAGGTGATCATTGACTCGTCACTTGCTGGCAACACCACTGCTGATGAGTGCACTTGGACACTCAGTGATGGTGTGCTGCAAGCCACAGTCTCAGAGGGGCTTAGGTAATGGCAAGCCCTTTGATTGTTCCTTCGAAGCAACTTTGGCAAGCCAAATCCCAGACGATCAGCCTGAGTTGCTGCAAGCTGTCAGGTGACTCTTGCGAAAGCTGATGAAGGGACTTGGAGTATGTCTCAGCCGTTTTTGAATCATTTTTCCAGTCAACATCTTCGTTTTGTGTTTCGCTCACAAGTGAATGAGGCCTGAACTACTTGAGGCGTAGTGCAGCTGCAAGTTTTGCTGTGAGGGTGAACCTCACTGTCTCTCTCAGTTGTGAACAAACAGAGCATTTGCCGCTTGTACAGTGCAGAGACAGTGGCACGTTAGACTTGTATAGAGCCCAAAAAAGGATCACCGACTTGTGACATGCAATTCTTGTCACAGCAAAGATGAACAGCAAGCACCAAAGCCCAAAGTCTGGCGCTGGAAAGGTTGGGCTCAAAGTCAGCGTTAGCCCAATCTTAGCTTCGTCACTTTATATATATCGGTTTACAGTTTTGGTATCTTGGATTGAATTGCATCTCTTGAATCAAAGACGCTTTTCTCGGTGTGATTTGCTTCCGCTCTCGATTCTCGAGGAAGATTCGTGGCACAATGCGAGCTGATCTTGATGAGAATGAAGGGTGGCGAGCTCATTGAGAGCAAAAGTAGCAATAGCAAAAGAATTCTAGATGATCTAAAGTGGATGTATTGCCATGGATCTCGGTCGCTCAGTTTGAACCCTGTTGCTCAGGAAGAAGATTGGTGGTGGTAGCGGGAAGACTGAAAAGCCTTTGGAAGCTCCCAATTGTGGCATTGCTACACAAGCTGTCTACACCGGGGTTATCAGCAGCTTTCTCTATGGTGCTTTGGCATGGTATCTAGAGGGAGTCTTGTAGGATCCAGTTGAATTGGTGCCACAACGAACTGTTCGTTTCAAAACATGATATGCATATCAATGAGTCACATGTTGAACTGTTCCTGCCGGCCAAAGGCAGATTGAGATCAACATGTAACATGCATGCTATTCCCGGACCCATAGTAGCAAGCAGGTACCAGAGGTCCACAAGAACTTTATATTTCAGAGCTACCTCAGTCTTGTATGTTTGGGTGAGGAGATTTTGACCTGTGGACACACCAGAGTATTTGCTCTGAGGCTACCATCTTTGCAATCTGAATTCATGCACCTAGGCGGCAGTTCAAAGAGTATTTGTAAGAATTAGTAGTGCGACAGCGAGAATTTGAAATTGAATTTATAGTACCCGATGACAAGGCATGGACTTTATTGCCCTGCACTTTGAATGGTGCAAGAGCACCGTCAGGGCAGATTGCTTGGCTAGTGCCATCGATGGAGGTGCTTTGGGTCACAAGTGGTTAGTTACTTTTGGTGTTCTGACCAATTGGTTGTGGCGGAATGTGTATGCAACAGCATCATTTCAGATTTGTTTCTGCAGAACCAACTTGGAGGTCTCATCAATGCAATTCTTTACTTGGGAGCTGCAGCAGGAGCACTGCTTGTGGGACGGCCCTTCATGGTCAATTCTGGTTCCTTGTCAACGTTTTATGTGTGCCTGGTAGATTCTAGATTAGTCAGAAAGTACACATGGCATGAATTAGATCGAGCTGTTAGCCTCCAAGGTGCACGGATACAACTTCTTATTTCTGATGCTTGGGCAAGATCCGGCAACACATTCACTTAAAGTTCTACAGTTGTACATTGTACATGAGCTTATAATGTGGAACAATCATTTCAATATAACAAAAGGCAAAGCAACAGGGGGCAGGGACAATTCCAGCCAAGCTGAGATATTTTGAGTAGGCAAACATTTGATGAAGAGTCTTCGTGCATCTTTGTCTTTTGAGACAATACCACAGCGAATTGAAAACACAGTTGAAACGATTAACACATTACAAGTTTCCCAAACAAACTAAGGGGAGCTTCTTTGGAGAAGCCTGAGCTCTCTTGCGTCCCTATCTAGGAGCTTCCAAGGTCTCCTACTTACCCCTTACTACTAGCTAGCTACGTTAACTTACTAGTTGTTTCCCCCTTAGAAAGTATTGATTGTTTTGCAATGTTTTGCATCTCAACTCCAAAGCATGCAGAACTGGACCTGTAGCACCCTGTAGCATAAGCAGAAGCCTAGGATGTGTTCTTTGTGGCCGGGGGCCTCTTCGGTGGTTTGGCTATTGGCATCAAGGGCTTGCTACTCTCGCGCCTTTTCTCGGGCATAGGTTTGGGCATCTCAGCGTCTTGGCTGAACAACTTGTTTTGCTTTTTTGTCCCGGTAGGCCGTGAGGAGGTAGGGGTAGAGGTGTAAGTAGTTACTACTAGTAGCTGGGACGCAGGAAAGCTTGAGCTTCTTCAAGCAGGCTCCCCCCTCTCTGAGGGCGGGAGAGCTGCCGTGAAGAAGCCCTCGCACTGTTCATTTGGTGCATAGATTTGTTTGGAAGCTTAACTTTTATCAGTGCTTCTCAACTCACTTGCTTGACAAGCATTGGAATCATCAAGGCAATTTCAGCACCTGTCTACATTGCAGAGGACTGTTTTATATCGAATTTGTTGGACTGTTCATATCGATTGTTTGAGAAACAGTAGCAGTCGAAGCAAGCATGAACTTGAGTCAAGTCAAGCACATCAACAGTTATTTCCAGGTGTCACCTCCGGAATGCAGAGGATGGCATTCAGCCAAGCATGGATTGTACATTGCGACGGGTGCCTTGTTTGAGCGTTCAGTGCTGTCCCAACTTGAGCGGGATCATTGCCAGTTTCTAAACATGAGAGGAGAGTATTGGAATATATTGAAATTAATTGAAATTATATAGTAGTGTTTCAATCAAGTAGCTGGACATTGCATCTCAGTCCTACCACTGATCCTTCTAGACTTCTGGGGATGTGTCACCTAAGCCACACTTGCCAAGCAAAGACCACTTGCTTTTTCAAGCCTTTGCTCAGTAGAGGGAGTTGCCGTTGCATTTGCCACAGGACACTATTGGTGCATGTTTGCGCTGTGCACGTGCTACGAAGTTTGCAGCTGCTGTTGCCTCTTGCTGACTTGTTTGGCTCACAATCTAGCCACTGATCACCGTCCTCAGCCTTCATAGGCTTTCATAAATTTGCTCCATGATGCTCCATGTCCAATTTCTTGGTCCATGTTGCATCGTCCTGGATACCTGGTAAATGCAGGTGAAGTGTCCCAAGCGATGAGAGTTATATACTGAGATTCAGAAAAAGAAAACATGTCGCCAAGTGCAATCCTCAACTCAACAACCGATCTTTCGCATGATCCGGTGCTTCTCTTCTCACACGCGCAAGGTCTTTTGGCGGCAGAGCTCGTTGGCCTGCCGCAGGATCCGCCAGACATGGGCCTCACAGCAACTGGGTGGTTGAAGGTTAAGTTCTAAATACAAATGTACTGTAGTTTCAAGGTTTCGTTTGTGGAATTGTTCATGCTTTCATCATCTTTCATCTCATCAAGACTGTGTTCCTGTTGGCAATGCTCCTAATTAGCCAAATTCTGTGAGTGGACAGACAAAGCTGAGCAGATGCTTGGCATGCAGCTGCTTTAATATTTGGACTTATGGTGCTGGATCGCCACATTTGATCTGAGATGCGAAATGACTGGTGGTGGCGAGCCATACTGGGTTTGCCATGCCTTCTAGCAGGCTCCTGCATGCCGGCGAAATGCTTACACGGCTTGTCGCAGCTTGTATCCTGAAATCATATAAAGTCCTCACCTCAACCTAATTGCAATGGCCTCCAACCTAATAGCGATGGCCTCCACCCTACTAGTAGTGGAACATTGTGCTCCAGGCTTTCAATTCTTCGTCTTCAAGTACGACCTCCCAGTTGACTCTGTGACCTTTTTGGTCCGACAGGCAGGGTCGATGGCATTGTCCCGGCTAAAGCACAGATTGGACCTTGCAAGACGGAAATTGGTGCCATGCCCTGAAGGGAAGGATGGATGAAGCCAGGCTTGGCCAAAGTTTGTGTTCGATGCAAAAGGTGCTTTTGGACCTGCATTACCGTGTTGCATATTTGTACATTTGATTTTAAACAAACAGTGTGTGTGTGTGTGTCCACCCCTGGAAAAAGGGCTCCTTTCACCATTTCCAACAAGCAGGGGCGTCAGGCTCGATACACCTACCTGACGCAACGAAGCTCTGGTGTATCGAGGGATGGGTGGACTGATCATCCACCTGTACCTGCAGAGTTTTCCACACGCTGTCACCCTACTCTTCCACGTTTTGATTCATGGTTCTTCATGCTTCCACCCCTAAACCTCGGTTTTGCAGCTGAGTTTGCGCGTTAGCTGATTTGCGCCGCGCCGCCCGAGCGACCGATCGTCTCTGCAGACTTGAGCAACAGTGTTTTCAAACACCTACAAGTTCTTGGACCTTTCACCTTGCGGTTCTTCGCCATCCTTCCCATCGGAGAAATTGAGCTAACTGAATACAAAATTGTCGAAGTGTGTTTGCGCACTTTTTCATCCAGGACAATGCTGTACAAAACCTATGGCCGTCCTCCTCCAGACCTGTCTCAAAGCTGCAAGTAGTAAAGATCGACCCGTCGACGAGCCCTACCAATCTTCATATTTGTGAGCTTACCAGATTTGCCTCGAGACTTTGATTTACCTCCAGAGCTGGAATAGTTTCATCTCTTGGTTCTGTGTTTTTTTTACGCGCTGCACAAGTAAAGAAGCTCATAGCAGCTTGAATGGTAAAACGTTGAGACGCAACCAGGGAGACTGGTCTCGGAGACAGCAATGCGGCTAAACTGGAGCTGAAGTTGAAGGATTTGGCAGCATCTCGGTTGAATAGATGATACAGCCAACAACAAGGGACATCAAATGCTTGTTGAGTTTTGCTGACAATCCGCCTTATTGAAAAAGAAGCAACCTTTTGATGAGATTTTCCGAGGTCGTTGCAGCAGAAGCTGGGGCAACGCGACCCATCACGATCATTCAGGCCCATGCCTCCTTGCCTTTTCAATTGCCCGGGTTTTGGCTCCTAGTAGCGTCCTGTTGTTCCTAGTAGTAAGGCCAGGAGCCCCTAGTAGCGTCCTTGCTCCTAGTAGCGATGCCAGGAGCCCCTAGTAGCTTCTTGTTCCTAAAGTTGCATGAAGCCCTTGCTTAAGAAGTTGTTTGTCCAGGCATTGCAGGATCCGTTTCTTCGATGCTCCGTCGTAGTGGCTTTGGGGCAGATCAGAGAGTCTAGATATTTGTGAGCATCATAGTTCATTGCAGTCCGCGAACAAGATGATGAATCAACCAATACTCCCTCCTGCAGATAAGGTCGGCTTCTTCCTGGCATCTTACCAGCAGTTTCTTTCCCGCATTCAGAGTCGTTTGAGATGGATACGAAGAACAGTTCCTGGTGAGGGTGGAGGTTTGGTGATGTTGGGTGTTCAGGTTCAACTCAACCCCTTGCTCCTGACATGATGTCATTGAACCACAGTAACCTAGGGGCAACCTTTTTGGAGTTTTGAATGCAGCATGCACCTGGATGCACTTGTTCGTGAGACAAAAGCACCTCACTTGCTGATTTGCCTGTTTGTTCGCACGAGCGAGGCTCACGGGTATCAATGCCAGGAGCCAAGATACTCCGAAACCTTGTGACCTCCCCTTTAGACCATTACTGCATTTGATAGGAGCGTTTTTTCAAGCTGCAGCAGCCAGCTTTTGAAACGAGGCGCTGATGGCATACTCAAATACTCTTTTTGCGCAAGCCGGTATTCCTGCAAACAGCCTCACTCTGGCATCAGTTTTGAGCCTTGGTTGGCAGGGGTGCATTGTGAAGATCCCATAAATTGTCGAGGACAATTGCAGGGTTCTTGTCCCGTGCACTCTGACCCAAGGATGTGTGTGGCCAATGTTTTGGTATCCGCCCTTCTCCTGCATAGAAAGACACCACTACAGCCTTTCTGGCCTTTGTTTATGAATGTTTATGAGACATATGCACAAACATGTGCAACATAGGCATAGGGGATTGCTTTCAACTTCACGGAGACTTGCATTTGTCAGACGTGGTTGATAGATGTGAAAGTATGTTTGGCACGCTGTCCTGCTGAGGTATTGAGCACAAAGTTGGTAGATAGCCTGGGAAGACGGACGCTGCTGCTTTGGGGAAGCGCCACGCAAACACTTGCAATGGCCCTTTCTTCGCAAGAAGATTGTAGTGTTCTCCAGCGAGTCTGACTGAGCCCAGAAGCGAAATATTCAGGGATAATGTGCTTTCTGCCTACTTGCCACTGAATTCAGCAAGCTATTTGAGGCTTCAATGGTTTACGTGGTGCACATGCTGCTCCTCGCTCGCATTCACCAGTTTGGGGGAGCTCTCAGTCTCAGGGCACGTGTTAACCGTTGGAAGTTGGAACTACAGTACACGCTGAATGGAACGACAACATATGATTGAGTGCTGTCGTTTGTTGAGGCCAGCAGAATCTCAGGGTCTCATGGCCTTCCTGTTCTTTAGTCTTGGCCTCGGCGACCTTGGTTTGACCTTGGAAGTGATGCTTGGAACTAGCCACACCTGAGGTCTTTTTGTGGTTTCCTGGAACTATGGCCTTGGTGCGATAACCTGGCTCTGGCTTTCGGAAATCTATCCCATGGAGATTCGAGGAGTTACAGTATCCAAATTGTAAGAAGATACGGAACACGAGCAAGACAATCTCACTGACAAGCTAATAAGGGCTTTACATTGGCGTGTTGTGGCACACAGGCGAACACAACAGAAATGGCGATGCAAGTCAGATGAAAGGAAGATTAGCCCAAACCTGTGACGTGAGGACAGGCACTGTCGGCCTGCGGGGTAATCAAATGGATCAGTTGCTTCTTCATAGTGCTCATCGCCCGATTCCTGCAACTCATATTAACACTATGCCTTGGGGCTGGGATGCCACACCTTCGTGGTTTTAGCACTACCAGTAGTAGCATTGCCGCTGCATGTTTGAGATCAGCTAAGGAACTTACATTTGTCTTGTGTTCTCTTTGGTGCTGGCCTCAGCCACTTCTTCTTTGAAAAAAGAACTACTCAGCTGCTCTCCCTGGATTCCCTCAGTCCATTGCTTTTGAGGGTACCAGTAGAGTTAGTAGAGTTTGACAACAGTTGTGAACAACTGATGTCTCGCTTCAATGCGAAACCTTTAGATCTGATAGCCGTTTTCTACTCAGACCTGAGACCTGAAGAGACCTCAAGAATCCAACAGCAATTGATAACTGGCACAAGCGAGACAAACGCATACAGTAACACAGCTGCTCATTGAACACGCACCAGAGACAACCTAGTAATTGCTTGTTAGTTTATTGTGTTTGTCAACCTAGGACCTAGCAGCAAATCTGTAATCAAAGACATCACTGGAGCCAGATTAAGACCAACGAGAGCAGCCATGGCGCACGTCTTGGAGCTTACCTCGAGCATGTCTTGGAGAGCACCTCGAGCATTAGTCCCTGCTACATTTGGGGCCAGACCTCACGTCTGGCCCAGGAGGTGGCCAGAATTGCCGCCATCCAAGGCCTGGAATGGACCAGACTTTGACCACGAATGGAACCCAAACTCAATAGAATATGTATATAATATAGTATAATAATATTTAACTATACTTGCAGTATAGAGATTAACTATAATTGCAGTATAGAGATTGAATCAGTGAAGTCCACACAATGCATCACCGGAAGTATCTCGGCCCTTGCAAAAATTGTATTTAATCGAGGATCTTGGCATTTCTAGACCTGTCAGGTGGCGCAGGTGGCATGTGGGACTTGCGCATGCCGAGCACTGCAACGCCGCACCTGTGTGCGAGTGAGGCAAAGGAAACAGGAGCATTGCATTGCAGCATGCATCACGAGGTGGACGAGATATCGTAATTACATCAAGGTTGATCAATGTGTTTTGGCAGTGCAACGGGGTGTAGTTTGCCTCAAAATGCTTTCAGATTGGTGCAGACTGGGAAAGGTGTTGTTCATTGTTTTATGTTTTGTGTTTCTGATAATATGGTTTCCTACATGTGTCTACCCTTGTGGCATGTCGGGCCCTTTCAGAGGAGACTGAGGAAGAGCGCCTCAGACTTGATCAGGAAGCTCGCGAAGGGATGGAAGAATACATGAAGCTCATCCAGGAGAACCAAGAGGTCAAACACCAAATATGTTCATCGAAGGTGCATATCAAGATAGGCTCAATACTATCATGACTCTCGTACAATTACAGTAGGATGAATCGGCCTTGGGATTTTGCTGAAGGACTTGGCTGCAGCAGGCAACATTCGCGCTGAGAAGACAGTAGCTTGGTCATTTATCATCTCTTTATATATAGGGATGATGCTCTTGTTGATGCCTTTTCGTATTTTGAATCATTGGAATATTTGACAAACTTGATTCAGCAAGGCCTGGAAATGGGATTTGCGCAAGAAAGTATGGAACTTTTTGGAAGACAATGACTTGGCGGAGTTTCCTCGGCCAGTGCATCACCGAATACCCAACTTCAAAGGGTCTGCCAAAGCCGGTGAACGTTTGGCAGAGCTGCCTGAGTTTATCAATGCCAAGGTGGTCAAGGTCAACCCTGATACTCCACAGAAGGCCGTCAGGGTGGCTGCCTTACGATCTGAGAAGTTTCTTCTACACAGATCGGAAAGTTTTCAGAAGTTCAACCCCTTCTAATTAGATTAAAGCAGGAGCATTTACAGTATCGGAGCTACCTCACAAGATTTGCCCAATCGGCTTGATGTTACTAATATCTTGTCCATCACTGATCTAAAAGGAAGTTGAGGTCTGAGGGGTGAAGGTGCAAGCATATTGCCAAGAGGTCTTGGGATGTGCAAAGCCGGTTGAAACATGTTGAAACTAGATCCAAAGAGCCTCACTGGTGCAGCTCCGCGCCAGTATTGTTGCCTTTTCTTTGTGTTGGGTCGTGTGCCGAGGCCGAGGCCACCTGTTAGCGGTGTCATGGTTTGACTAGGCTCACTTTAGAGAGCTGAACTGAACTCCACTCAGACGAGACTGAAGCGTTCCTTGTTGGACCGGTGCTATGTGCATAATTAGGAGCAATGGGAACGAATTGGATAGTCCCTTCCGACGCTGCTTGTGTGATTCTAATGTTTAGTAGTTTTGTTTTGCTGTTCACTTTGCAGGTATTGATTTGCTTTTGTGTTTTCTTTCTTTCAGGACACTCTATGTACCACAACCGCGGCTACGAACAGGTTTTTTCTCACGGATAAAGCCTGGCATTGTGCCTCCAGAAAAGTACGAGTTTGCTGCAACAGCTGGAGGTATGAAGCAATTGGCAGAGCCTATGGACTTGGACGATCAAACCAAAATTGATGTGGTGGTAATAGGTTCATCAGCTGTGAATCCCGAAACAGGAATGCGAGTGGGTAAGGGAGAAGGATTTGCGGAGCTTGAGTATGGCATGATGAGGCAGCTGGGGATGATTGATGAGAACACGCCTGTGATAACAACAGTTCATGATAGCCAAGTGATAACTGAAAACTTCCCGCCAAAGGGCAAGAATCTGATGAAACATGATGTGCCAGTGGATATCATTGTTACCCCGACGCAGACTATCCATGTCGACAAAGCACGGCAGCCAGCCAAGCCAAAGGGCATTTACTGGGATCTACTTTCTCGAGAAAAATTGGCAACTATTCGAGTTCTGCAAGATTTGAAAGCCCGAATCGAGAGCAAAACTGGCATTGAACTTGAGCTGGCACAGCAGGAGGAAGCTCTTCCTCCCTTGGCAAAGCGCGGGCCACGTGGTCGGTCAAGGAGACCATCCAAACCCAACAAGGATCCTGACATCGCAGGCGTGGGGGTCAAAAGCAAACTCCGCCGACCATGAGCAATGAGCACTCCTGCATGGCGAAAAAAGAATGAGCGAACTGGATGAGGGTGCACTCCTAGCAAAGTCTACAAAAGAATCAATGCCATTTGCAATGCCTTACTTGTACTAGTAGGTTGGAGGCCATCGCTATTAGGTTGAGGCCATTGCTATTAGGTTGGAGGCCATTGCGTTAGTAGTTTGGAGGCCATTGCTAGTTTGGGAGTTTCGCGCAGCTTTGTGCATAGCCGAGGTGCTGTCAGCGGCATCGGTTTGGTGGGCATGTGGCTGTGGGTTTTGGAGACAAAAGGATGTGATATTGAAGATAGCCCAATGACGCTCCTCGACTAGACTTGGATTCCTGTTTCTGGATGTTTTTTTTTAAAGGTGTTTGAACAAATTATAGTGGTAGGAACACATCGAAGGACGCTACCATCGGCTTTTACATGAGGCCGCGATCAGAACGATCTACTTCGATATTATTGGGCCCAGGCAGCAATCATGCAAGCGCCTAGACTGCAGCTGCACCTGAAAGCTGAACCGTTTCGGTCAAACATAGTCATCATGGACAAATCAAACAACCAGGTAATGAAAAGGGTGTGCAATGAAAGGTGGATTTTGGCGCAACCTTTCTTACATTTTAAAATTGTGTTGCAGCTGATGATCAATCTAACGATTGTCAAGGCCCCAACAGCAACAAGATCCTTGGCAGCATCATGTCCGATACAAAACCGGTAATGACGGCAATGGTACTGCCAAATCGTGCAGATAAGGCACCTCAGAATGATGATGAGTGACGAGCCACCTCAGCAGGGACCTCTCTACGCTCGCGCAGCTGGTCTGACCACTATTACGACTTGTTCCACATAGTTTTTGTAGCCTGGCCATGCCTGGCCCAAACATTGAAATTGTACAATAGACCTTTGATCTTGGTCTTGAGTAACCTTCTTGTCCGAGGTCGACTGATGCGTGAATGTCATTGCCATTTCTCCGCAGGGTATCGCTTTAAAGATGTCTGACCGCCCAATAGACTTCAACAAACCCAATAACAAACACCCTTCCATTTATCGCCCAAACATAAGCTTTCAATATTGGCGGGTTTCACTCAGAAATATGTTCTCAAAATGTTGAGAAAAACACATTAAATATATCTAAATATAATGAATTAAATATATTATATATATATTTATATATATGTATATAATATGCTTGAATCAATATGAATATTAATACATGCATGATGTGTTTTACATGCTAAAGTGCTCATACGCAAAAACAATCCAAGTCAAACACTTGTACAATCTTATTTAATGCACTGTGTCGGCTTAGCGGATGGCTACCTTCTGGTGTCCAAGAGGCACCTGTTAGTGCGACTGTGGTAGGAACTTGGGGAAATTTTTTAGCTTCTTTTGTAAAGGTACAATCCTAGGGAGCGAGGTGCTTTTTTATTGTTGTAAAGGGTAACAACCCACAAATGGAAACTAACATTAAAGAAACATGAAAACCAGAAAGGGCCTTCGAAGATAAGGAAATATTCTTTGGCGTATTCCCTTTATGTTAATATTTATGTATAGAATATGGTTATTTTTATATTATATATAATTAATGTTTAACTAAATGTATTTAATTTATTATATGATATTAAATATAATTAATAATAGGTGTTTTATTACGAAAGCTAGCCTTAGTTAGTTGGAGTTGTTCTTGCTTTAGTAAGTTAAGTGATGGGGTGGATGCATCTTAGAAACCTTAAATAATTGATTGAATCAATCTTATGGACCCCCTCTACCCCCCCCCCCCCCCCCCCCCCCTCGCGGTTCGACTCCCCCCCCCTCTGCGCGCGGTGAGCGGGTTTATTAAGCAGTTGCAGCGCCCAACGGCGGAAGCGGCAGAAGTAGCATACCTAACGCCGCGGCAGAAGCCGCAGTAGACCACTTAGCGCTAGCAGCAGACGACCCGGCGCCTGCAGAGCATCCAACGTAGTAGCGCCTAGCGTAGCAGCGCTAGCAGCAGTAGTAGCGCTAGCAGCAGACCACCGGAAGCCCAGCTAGCTTTCGTTCACCCCCTTTGGCCTTAAGTTTTAATATTTAACGAATGTTTATTCGTTTATATTAGGTTATGAATATTTTTTTATTTCGGTGATTTTAAATGAGATTTTATATAATTATATTAAAGGATTGATTAAGAAATTTTGAATTTTGAATATAATTAATGGAATACGAAAAAAAAATAATTTTCGGCATAATAAATTATTTAAATAAGGATATATATATATAGGAAAAATTAAATCAAATGAATGCATCTAGATTTATAATGTATTTGGGAATTTAATTGTTTTTAATGGATTTAATATTTTCGATTGAATTTATAATTAATTCGAGAGATATGTAATTTATATATAAATGGGAATCGATATATTTAATTAGTCCAATTGGAGATCTTAATAGCAAAATACAAACCGGGATAAAAAGAAAAATCTGGAAACATTTGTTGTTTTTAATACATCGACCATCTCTTCCTTGGATACCATTATCACATAACCGGGATACTAGGGCACCATCAAAATATGACCGAAACACCATCACAACATAACCGGGACACCATCATAAGGGACACCAGCATGACATGACGGGGACACCATCAAACCATAATCGGGACACTATCACAACATGACCGCGCCACCATCACATGATCGGGACACCATCAAAACATGACCGGGACACCGTCACAACATAACTGGGACACAATCACAACATGACCGGGACACAATCACAATATGACCGGGACACCATCACATGACCCGGACACCATCAAAACATAACCGGCACACCGCCAAAACATGACCAGGACATCAGAACAGGACCGGGACACCATCAAAACATGACCGGGACACCGTCACAACACGACCGGGACACCATCAAAACATGACCGGGACACCATCACAACATGACCGGGACACCATCACAACATGACTGGGACACAATCAAAACATTATCGGGACATCATCACAACATGACCGCGCCACCATCACATGATCGGGATGCCATCAAAATATGACCGGGACACCGTCACAACATGATTGGGACACAATCACAACATGACCGGGACACCATCACAAGGTGACCGGGACACCAACATGACATGACGGGAAAACCATCACAAGATTACCAGGACACCATTTGCCTCTGGCAATGCCAGGCAACTAGAGCCCTCATTGCGAAACCCGCTGGCTTGCTGCACGCGTGCACCCCCCTGAAAGCTATGGCGACATAGATTGGCGGGGCCTTAGGAGTGAGTCTCTAATAATATAAGGCAAGTATTTTATGGATTCCGGGCTCCCGAAAGCAACGTACCAGAGGGGACGTTAGGTGTAACGTCAAGCATATCCCGGAAACCCTCCCCGTTGCACGCCGCTACGGCTACATACGACCTACACGCAAGAGCCTTGGGACGGAGCCGCTAGCACATAAATTACCGGAACCTTAAGAATAAACCTCTAGCAATGCCAAGCAACTGTTTTATAGAAAGCAAACAAATAATAAAGAGATCGGCGACACCAAGGCGAAGCCCTTAGAATTAATATAACGAATAATATATATATATATTTATATAATACATAATAAATTAAAATACGAAAAATAAATTATTTAAGATCCACAAACATAATACAATACATCTAAATTATATTTAAAATAATTAATTTATATGGATTTTAGCCTCGAAAAGAAAATTCAAAATAATATAAATCGTAATATAAATATATATCTACAAAATTATCAATATAATAGAATTAATTCGGAATATATACCGCCGGAATGTAAGTTAGAATGACCGGCTGATATCGGTCTTTTTTGCACAGTTAGAACTCAGGTACGAAGCCCCAGAGATAGAATGATCGTCGAAACAGGCAGTTAGAATGTGGGAACAACGCACTTAGAATGTGTGGCAAAAGGATTGCAGATTTGCCCTGTTTTCCCACGTTTTTTTGCATTTTTCCGGATGCTCCATCGAAAGATCCTGTTCCATTCCGAATTCATGCGAATTCAGTAAGCGGCCGTTCCAGCAAGTTTGCTGCTTCAGACCTCATCCAAACCCCGTTGGGCCCTGCCGTATACAGGAAAATTACCATATTCAAAGAGGGTCAGGAAGACAGATTCTAGTATATATATAGTTTATATATATAATATGTATATATGTGCATGCAAATATATATATATATAAAATGGGTTGTTCAGAAATTGATTTGAATGAACAAAGGGCAGGGCCATCCCCATATATGATGTACACATAGGCATAGACAGAAAATATACATATTTGAGTTCGAAATTCCTTGCTCATCAACTCACACATTCTAACTGTGGGACCTTAGAATTACACAGGTTGCAAAAAACAACTCTGAGCAAGAAAACGGAAGTGAACCTCACAGATCTCCCTTTGTGGCAAGAACCCCCAATACCTTCTTGTATTGAGCTTTCCACATGGGATCTCGCGGAAATTTATCCAAATGAAATTTCAAGAGGTCCCGGATCACTAGAAGCAGGCACTCACCCTCCATCCGCTTCAGCTCGCCACCATGCGTGAAGCATAGGTTCTTAGAGCCCTGCTCTGGATGATATCCGGTCCACGTTCGCGTGAAGGTATGATAATTCAAATGCAAGCCGCCTGGAGGCAAGGCCACCAAACCAAGGGACTCCAGCTTTTGATAGGCTGGCCGGTGGGAGAAGCTCTTCACCCGCACAGCCCCTGTAGGCACCATGGCCGGCAACTCTTCCTCGCTGCTGCTGAACCCTAGCACTTCTTCACGACCGCATTCCTCCATAGCTTCCAAAGCTGCCTCCTCTGCAAGGATGGCCTCATGTTCATCATCCACAGCTCCATCTGGTGGCTCACTGGGTTCATAGTCATCGGCATCCGGGTTTAGGTTTAAAACACATGGGAGGAGAACAATTATGCAAAGATTATATATATATATAAATGGAGAGAGGGAGAGAGAAACAGAGAGAAAGAGGGAAAGAGACACCTGCAATTCTCTTCAAATTTTTTCAAAGGAGTATGAGCCCGGGACGGATGCGTCCTTCGCAAAGATGTTCGAGCATCTCAATTTGTTTCTGGCTCACTAATCTTTTCTTTAGATCTGGAACACCATTGTTTTGTAGCCAGGAATTCCGCTCCTGGAAAAAACATAAACGAACAATTAAAATGTATGTACATATATAGGCATATCTTTCTATATAATGTGTGAATGATGGTGTTTGCGCACCTAGATATATATATATATATAGATAATTGCACTCCGTCTGATCCATGCCTGCTTGCCTTCCCTTTGCGGACATCAAATTGAAGCGCCATCTTGTCGGACAATTCCTTGAATTTTAAGGCAACCTTCTTGGCAGTAGGAATGTCGCCCCCATAATCAGACAATGGGAAGCTCCGCTTGAAAAATTCGCATCGTACTTGAAACCTCATAAATACAGCGAGCCACTCATTATACGATATATATATAGTAGACTCTCACATTACACTATCAGACCATGCCTATTAAAAGAACGGAAAACCTGGAGTATAGAAAAGCAACATGGTTTTGCTCTCCTTCATACCCGATAATAATGCAATTCCACCGCCGGCGCTAGGATCAGTGAATTCGTGGGTGCTTTTATTATCAATCTCATCAGCATCTTCATGTCCGGGGGGTGGTTCTATAGGTGCTAGTAGCTACGGCTCTATATTAATTCCTAGCATTCTAACTGCAATTTTTCCAATAACCATAGGCATATACCAAGAGGTAGAGAGTCTAAGAAGGAGAAAGGATCAGGAGAAAACAGCAAAATCGAGAAATAATCAAATACCAAAAGCTCAAGATCCTAAAACTTAAAGAGAGAGTAAATCCCGAGTCAACTCTTCCATGGTTCCAGAAAGACTTCCGCCCAAGAATAAAAATAGAAAAATAAGAACTATTTGTATGCAAATATTCCCAAGAGTGCAACCCTACACTTTACGTATTGTATTTATATGGTATCCACTATATAAATATAAATTAAATAACCAAAAGGATTTCTTTTTTATAAATTATGCAAAAGCACGTATTATACAACATGCAATATCAAGCCAAAATAAACGAAGATCGTACGATAAAAAAACAAATTCCTGCAGAAAATCAATATTTTTTTTCAAAATCCTAAATTTTCATATTTTATATAATAATAAACATTAAAAATATAACAAAAAATTAAATTCAAAATCCGCGCAAATAAAATGAATTGCCAAAATAATATACGACGGGATTTTATTATTCCTCCATATAAATATCTATTTACCCATTCTAACTTCCCCTCCGTCAATATAAATATTTTAAAAATAACATCGAATCGATCTATAAGTAAAAACGCATAAATCGATACGAAATCGACGATAAAAAAATCGAATTCCATAAAATTTCTCTTTCCTTCAAAAAAGAAAGATCCTTCGGGAAAACACGGCCAAAGCCGGGCCCGTAAACAAATGATATAATTCTTTTCAAACGAAGCGCGGGGGATAGGGAGGGGCCATTTATCCGCCGATCCCAGCCTAGCCGCAGCCTAGGCGGGAGATGCCTAGGACACCGTAGGGTACAACCTTGGCATTGGCATCTCCACCTTTCTTAGAAGCTGCCACCTCGGCCTGCGCCTCTTTTCTTTAGGGTCCCGAAGATGACGTCCAGGTGCCTTCAAACCCTCCGTAGCGCCTTTGGCCAGACTACAGCTAGTCTATTTAAAGCCATGCAACCTACAGATCCTCCTAAGCCTCTAGAAGGTATCACCTCGGCCTGCACCTCTTTTCTTTAGGGTCCCGAACGTAACGTCCAAGCGCCCTCAAATCCTCAACGCCTTTGGCCAAGCTACAGCTAGCCTATCTAAAGCCATGCAGCCTACAGACCCTCCTAAGCCTCTAGAAGGTATCACCTCGGGCTGCAGCTCTTTTCTTTAGGGTCCCGAACGTAACGTCCAGGCGCCCTCAAATCCTCAACGCCTTTGGCCAGGCTACAGCTAGCCTATCCGAAGCCATGCAGCCTATAGATCTTCCCGAGCCTCTAGAAGTTGCCACCTCTGCCTGCACCTCTTTTCGGTCCCGAAGGTAACGTCCAGGCCTCTTCAAACCCTCAGTGCCTTTGGCCAAGCCTTTAGCCAAACTACAGCTAATCTACCTGTCCGAAGCCATACAACCTATAGACCCTCCCGAGCCTCTCGAAAATATCATCTCGGCCTATACCTCTTTTCTTTAGGGTTCCGAAAGTGACGTCCAAGCGCCTTCAAATCCTCCGCAGCGCCTTTGGCCAGGTTACAGCTAGCCTATCCGAAGCCATGCAGCCTACAGACACTCCCGAACCTCTGGAAGCTGCCACCTCGGCCTGCACCTCTTTCTTTAGGGTCCCGGGGGTGACGTCCAGGCGCCTTCAAAACCTTAACGCCTTTGGCCAGGCTACAGCCAGCCTATCCGAAGCCATGCAACCTACAAACCCTCCCGAGCCTCTGGAAGCTGTTTTTAGGGCCCCGAAGGTGACGTAGAGCCAACATAGGCCAACATGGGGCCAACATACGCCAACATAGGCCCAACCTAGGCCAACATAGGCCAACATACGCCTAACATAGGCCAACATAGGCTCCACATGGGCCCAAGATGTGCCCAACATAGACCACATGGGCCCAACTTGGCCCAACCTAGGGCGAAGATGCGCGCCAGATAGCTTAACTTTGCTCAATATAGGCCCCACCAAGGCCAACATAAGCGTGACATACGCCCCACAGACCCAAGTGGGCCGGCGCCCGGCTGTTAGGCGTAAGCCTTTAAATAACTATTTTTTCAATAAATCTCTTCGATTTTGACCCATCTAATAATAAATTGAAATTTCAGCTGACCTCCTTCGGAGATCGCTTTCGTGACCTATATTCATATCATATAAGATTTATACAGTTTCTATCATTATAAGGATGCAATGATCTTTATCTTTTCGGACAAATTCCTAATTTTGTAGAGCAAACAAAGCACAGGCACCTTTTGATCTCTTTCCGCCGCAACGTGTATGTTGTTTCCATGTCATTTTCCATGCAATGGATGCTTTCATGCTGTGATTGATGTTAATTGACGCAAAAAATAGACACACATATATTTGCATTGCAATTGCTGGTCATTCATGATGGAATTGGGCTCACTCCAAAATCTACTTCTTCCGCTTCTTCTTCCCACTGCTGGAGCTTGACCTTGGATTTCAAGGCCGATTTCCAGCATCTTCATGCCCTCTGAAGGTATGGGTGGAAGGCATGGACTGAGCTACGTGCGATGAGCGCTTGCGCCTTCTTTTTCGAGAGCGCGATCTGCACACCAAAAACCGTAAGTCGTCAGCATGCCCTACCGCTCCCGTTCAAAAACACGGGCAAGTGCATCGGCGTATCCTCAAGTTCAGTGACAACTGGGTGCTTCACTTTGCTGCACAGAACCGCACCTCTTCTTCTCCTTCTTGTCCTACGATTCCAATTCCCAGCAACGCTGTCAGGCTGCGGCTTCCATCTGACGCCACTTGAACCAATGGGGCTCCTTGTTGAGCTCAATGCTCGCTTGTGCCACTTCGGCCGCTTCTTTAAGCGCCTGAACACAAGCAACGAGGTGATTCAAATCCCAGCAACGAGAGAGAGAGAGAGAGAATGAGAGGAGAACAAATGCTGCTGTGACCTGAGACACGGTCTCGCTCTCAAACGGGACCTCAGAAACTTCACCGCGAGATGCTGTGTGAAGGTTTTGACACGTTCTTCAAACCTTCGTAACTTTATAATACTGCTATTAGTAGCTTCTTGTTACTAGTAATAAGGCCAGGAGCCCCTAGTAGCGTCCTTGCTCCTAATAGCGATGCCATTATTACTAGTAGCTTCTTGTTACTGCAAACCGCAAACCTGGTTCAACGGATCATACTTGTCATATGTATCTCTTGGCTTTCGGCAAGTGCCGGAGCGGGCTCATTCAGCGGCGGTGCCTTGGGAGGCTCCTGTGCCATTTCGAGACGGTTAAAGCTATATAATAGTTATATTGACTATATATATATTATAATACATATTATTTGTTTTTTCATTCTATTTTATGATCCAATGATCCAATGTGTGAACCATGTCGTCATGAAATGGTCGCCATGTCCTGTGGCTCTTCTCCCAGCAGTTTGGCCGCCAAATTGCGAGCATTGGACAATGCCTTTCGGGGTGCTTCAGGTGGACTGACTCTTGAAGGAGTTTAACAAACAAACGGGTATTCCGCAATCAAATCAATACAAGACACAAGAGCTAGCAGCTAGACTATATATAATTCCAAAGAATACAAAACTTAGAGGATGTTCTATGCCGTACTCCAAATTAATCCGTGAAGAGGGGCAATGCCGACTGGTTTGGCTTTGGCTACCAATTTGAATGGTGACTACAAATCTCAAGAAATGCGTAAGTTGTTGTGCACTTCGCGTTCAAACTTCTGCAAAAGGGGGCACAGCATGCGCAAATTGCACACGTTCATCGTGCCTGCCGAGTGTCATCCGCAATCAGCTCAGCACCATCCCTACCAGTTGCACTCCTTCATGGTGGGGTGTGTCATCGTGTCATGAAACGGCAAACGCAAAACCCCTAGTAGCCAGGAGCACCTAGTAGCGTCCTCTTGTTCCTAGTAGTAAGGCCAGGAGCCCTAGTAGCGTCCTTGCTCCTAGTAGCGATGCCAGGAGCCCCTAGTAACGAGAACGTGTGACAACTGGCAAGAGCATCGTTTCTACCGGTCCCTGTTGCGACTGCTTGTGCCGCATCTTGCAGGAAATTGGCCATGGACCTTTCATGCGAAGTGAACGCAATAATTTGTCTACCCGGTCTACCCGGTGGAAACCTGCGGGAAACCCTTGCAAAAGAAGCTTTGGATAGCTTTGGAAACTGAGTCAGTTGAGCACGCAACTCTAGTGGCGGACCAAGCGCCGCAGCCACAGCTTCTGCATCCTTTGTGCATCAACGGTACCAAGATCGCAATGCTAAAGCTCCCAGGAAGTCATAAACGTTGGAGATACTTTACCAACAAAAGAAGGCATGGTTGAACACTTGCTGCTTTGTGCGATGGCGCTTGTTTGTGCTTCATCCCCGTCACTCCTGAGTTGCACTTACAGATCGCGGTCTCTTTCTCCAAACATTCCAGTCCTTCACAAGGCCTTGTTTTCACAGCAGCAGGCAGGAAAGACATGTCACTTGTGACAAAGCTTTGAAGCACCAAGGACACCAGGTCTTGAAGCTGTTTGGGGAACAAACCAACTCTGGCCGCAAACATCTTGTGACTATGGTCCAGTAGCAGGTCCAGTTCCCTTGTGTTTGAGCAATTTCGTTCCATCTGCTGCTGCTTCTGAGCTTGTGGCTATCCAAGGACTTCTTAGGAGTATTCAAGTCTACCAGAACGTTCTTTGGTAGGACCTGCAATCCAACTGGCTCCAAGCACCCCAAACACTTCAAGCTATGCTTCGCCAAGCGAATGAGCGCGGTTCAATTCCTATCGATAATTTGTTGTTCTAATGGGTTCTTCTTTCGCAAGTTCCTTTCGCAACACTTTCGCGGCGAGTTTTGGCTTTCGCACGCTGCATCCTGCACAAAAATACTTTCGCAGGCTTGCGCGGAACAGATTCGCAAGCCTTTGCATTCTTTCCGGAGCAAATTCGTAAGATGTTTCGCGAATCTTTCGCGACTGCATGTAATGTTTAGCTTTCTTGAATGCATCATACATATTCATACATTAACCTCTTTTCAAATCGTTGCTGGAAGTTTTGATCGCTGCTCAAATGTGTTACCAGATGTCGTAAGTTTCTTGGGTGCCAGCCATTAGTTTCTTTGGCACTGCCAGTTCAATCCTGAGCTGGGCCAAAGTGCAGCAACTTCCAGTCAAGAAAGGATGCTACTAGGAGCAAAGGGCATCGCTACTAGGAGCAAGAAGCTACAGTCGAGAAAAACACCTCCATAAATCTGGAGCAATCATGGTGGATCGACATTCTCACCCAAAAGCACTTCGAATGGATTGTCTGCAGGTTTTGCTTTGGGTACCTCACTGGTTCTTTTCAGTGTCATCCTCTTCATCCTCTTCAACATCCTCAGCGTGAATCTGTCGGGGATGCTGCCAACATGAGTGACCTTGCTAATGAATTCATTGAACTCAAGATAATATTCTGTCTAGATAATCTTAATTTAAGAGAGGGACAACTTTATTCAAAGGGTGAGATGCTTGGATAAGAACATCCAGGCCTAGCTTCTGGCTGAGAAGCTTAGCTTCTGAGCACCAAACTCCCAAACCGAACATGTCAGGGTTCGCTGGAGCTTCGGTTTCCTTCAAACTCAAACAAGCTTCATCACGGTGCTGGCAAGTCTTGTGCGTTGAGTAGCACACTTTGTCTGATTTTATGATTCCAGAAGCGTCCTTCTTCTTCTCTTCCTTTTCAATCTCAACTGTGTACCGCTGCAAAGCAAAATCCTGGCATGTCAGTCAAGTCGAACCATCACAACAACTGCAAGATTCGAAGCGGTGTTCTGGCAGCACTCCGTTCCGCCGGGCAAAAAAGTTACTAGTAACAAAGGGCATCGCGGCATCGCAGCAAGGACGCTACTAGTAGCTTCTTGTTCCTAGTAGTATGGCCAGGAGCTACTAGTGGTGTCCTTGCTCCTAGTGGCGATGCCCTTTGTTACTAGTGCTTTCTAGTCCGTCGAAGGTGTGGCTTGATGCCGCGGGAGTCTCTACACTCTTTGACAGGCTGATCCAACGACAACACAAGCGAGCCAGCCAAGGCCCATGATGCGATCTTGCCAGCCTTGCCGTTGAGATCTGCCCTTGCAACTAGGTCCTCACAACGAAATCGCAACCACTTTCTCAGGGACACAAAGCAGCTCTTGGCAATCTCCTGAAGAAGCACTCGGGAACCATCTGGAAGACGGCCACCGCTTTCAGGAAGCAAGTAAATCACATTGAGCCTATCGGACATGTGCTATCACTTGCACATGAGGGTGTATTCTTTCTCGCTTTCCAAGGAACACCAATGTAAATGACGGTCATTGTGAAAACGACTCATATAAGGGTCTGCAAATTCAAAGTCAACGGGATAGAGCTTTGTCAGCAGAACGACAGAACTTGGCTCTGCACTCTGCTTGAATCGCTGCTTTCAACAGCTCCTGGAATCAATCGAAATCATTCTACATCTAACCATGACAGTAGGCCTGACCAAAGGCTTGCCAAAATCTGCGTGATCTAGTTTCTGGATGTTTCTGGCCATTTCTGCGCCATGAAACTCTACTCAAAAAAGGCGAGTCAGAAGTATCTTCGGATTGACAAGATCTGACAAGTGCTACAGAGTGTCTTCTGTTATTCCTTAAATACTTTTTGATCTTGGTTGTCCCAAAAGAATGAGTCGAATTGCTTCACGGCGTTCTTTTGCTCGCATTTGCTCGCGCTGGATGGTGAGAGATGCGAAGGCCATAGTCTTTGAGGTCAGTCCCACCGGTGCAGCCGATCAGTCCATCAAACTCAAGTCGCTCAAACGAGGGTGTTCACGCTGCTCATGCCATAGGTTCAATCACAACCTGCAAAATGTCGCGGACAACAAACGGTGAAATGGCATGTGATGGTTTTGCAGCTGCAAAGAGAGCAAAATGAAAATAAGAACATTACTTCTGATAAGCAAAACACGGTTCTCTCTCTCTCTCTCTCTAAAGCCTTGGAAGGCCACGTCAAAGCAAACAAACAAGAACAAAATTTGTCCACCTGTGTACCTATCCGAATTAGTCACATCGCTTGCTATTCAAAACTCATGCCATACCTTGCCTCAGTGCAACGTTCAAAAGTGGCACATTGCACGGGTTTGCAGCTTTCATCCAGAATCAAAAGAGATTGTTTCAACAAGTGTCGAAGTGCTGCAATCATGGTCCCAATATGTCCCAAAAAACGACATTGCTCCTAGAAGCGATGCCCTTTGTTCCTTAGTAGCGTCCTTGCTCCTAGTAGTAAGGCCAGGAGCCCCTAGTAGAGTCCTTGCTCCTAGAAGGCCTCCGAGTCTTGCCCCCGGCCTGAAGATCAGGCAGACTTGAAAGCAGTTGTCGCCGACACCTTTCCGCCTTTTCTCGTGCATCTCCAAGGACCAGGGCTCGGCCATTGCGTTCATTGACCATGGCCTTGACTTGGGTGCTTTGGTGAAAAGGCAACGCATTTTTGTTTTTGCCTTGCATCCAATACTGAGTCTCAGCATCGAGAAGGATGCTTGGGCACTTGGCTTTTGGATTATATTGCTCGATTTTGCGCCGCCCTCAAAATTGCGTCATTCTGAAGATGATCTCCATCATATTGAGTATGACTATGCAGTGCATGAATGACTTCGTTAAACTTAAACACATGCGGTCTTCCAACTCTACGTTTCCCTATATCAGCGATGGAACATATTTCGTTAAGTTATCACATGGGCCTTCCTTACCTCGTTCTCCAATCTCGCATCGTTTTTGGGGTGTAATCTCGTTCTCCATTCCTGTATCTGTTTGGTGCAATGGATACCCATCTCGTTCTCGAGAGGTGTTCCTACCTCGTTTCACCAGCTAAACATGTCATTAACGAACCCATTTCAAACAAATGGCGCAATTGATGCCCATCTCGTTCTCGGGGTGTTCCTACCTCGTTTCGCTAACTAAATCTGACATTGGGCTATAGAAAAGGAACGCTGCAAGCGGGTAGCGCGCTGTTTTGGACCTCAAAGGGGCTAGGTATGTATGAGGTTAGTTGACTGTACAGGATGACATGTACCGCTCTGCACCCCACTTGGAAGGGGGATGGGGCCTTCATCGCCATTCCATCGAGCGGAAAAACATCTCACCACAAATCCGAGATTTTACAGGCCTTGCATGCACAGCCTGAGTGCGTCGAATGACCTGGACCTCTGGCCAAGTCGTGGGCACGTTGTGTCAACGTGAAAAACATCTCTTCCTTCAAGGTGATACACCTTGCTCGACCAGGTGTTGATCTCACAATCAACTCCCTTCTCCGCCGTCTGGACTTGCTTTGTCCCAAGGCTCAAGGTTGCATGAACTTGGAAGTGCCTGGTGATGCACTTGAAGAAGAACCAAAGCATCAGGCTCTGGAGCATCAACACCACGCAAATGCCCAGGCCAAGGTCAGTGAAGACCCAGTCATTCTTCTCCACATTGAGCTCAATCTCAAAGCTCTCTGCTGACTGAAGGAGGGTCAGCAAAGCCACCATCAAGGCATGGCGAGTCATGCCATTTCCCACTGCACTCACTGCAGCCACGCTCTTGTAGTTCTCCTTGTCCTGAATCATGGGCTGCTTCTCGACCATCTCGTAGCTCCCAATGCCAATCTTCTGGCGCAGCTCAACGAATCTCTTCACGGCCAAAGCCTTCGTGCCAAAGTCCGCCGTGTTCTCCTGGGAAGGGACCGCATGCAGCGAAAACAGCTTCCTCTGGAGTGCTTCCTGCACCCACAGGCTTTTGACTTCCAGGTGTCTGATTCGGCCGACACCTTGGCGCTGAAACACGCCTCTGGCGGCGCTGCTATCCAAGTAGACTTCCATCTTCAAAGGGCTGCCAACGAAGCCGAAGATCTCCTTCGTGAAGATGCCCTCTGAACAAGCAGCCACTCCGCCGTTGAACTCTGCTTCGCCTGAGCTCAGGCAAAGCATCTGCAATGACCTTGCGTAGCTGTAGATCAGGCAGTTGCCAACCATGAACATTGCACACGCGCAGCTCTTGCGCGTCTTCTTGCAGTTCGCCCAATCCGTGTCCGAGTGGATGATGAGCTTGTCCATTTCCCCACTGCGGGGAAGCCACACACCATAGTCTCTCGTGCCCTGGAGGTAAGTGGCAAGTCGGTGCAACTTGATCACGCTGCCATCACATGGTTCCTTCATGTCTTTCGTATCTCCCGGACTGCAAACTGGATGTCTGTCCGGTCGTAGGAGAGGTACAATGCCAGGCCAACTCCAGCACGGAAAAGCTTCACCTGCTCATGGTCAGCTTCTTGCCATCTTTCACCTCAGTGTGCATGTAGGGCGTCGGAGCCTCGTTGCACTCGCTCAAACCGAGCATGCTCAGCAAGTCTGTGATGTACTTGCTTCGAGGTGTCAGGAAAATCCCGTCCTCGTGGATCTCTCTCGTCCTCTTGAGGCGCGTGAACTTCTCTCCGGGCTTCTGCATGTGGATCTGACTCTTCATCTTGATGCGCCCACGAAGTTCCTTCTCAAAGCCGACCAAAGCTTTGTAGGGTCCAGTGGCAAAGATGTCGTCCATGTGAACTTCAACCACCACCCCACTGCTTGCATTGAAGAACAACCAGGGCGCCGCAGGATTTCGCTCAAACTTCAAATCTTTCAGATGACCTGCAGTCCATTCAACAAATGCTTGCCCTGCAATGCGCCTGCCACACCACTCCTTCTTGAGCTTCCAGACCACATTCTCCGGCAGGGTGACACCCTTCTCGAGCTGTCTCTCGATCCACTCTTTGGGCGCTTGCAGGTAGGCCTCCTCCTGGATGGGAACTTGCCAGAATGCATTTTCAGCATCAGCTGTCAAAAGGCTGTACCCCATCTTCACTCACATGACGTCGATGATGCGGGAGGTCGAAGTGCTTGAAGCTACTGCAAAAACATCTGTCCGTGGATCACCCCGTTTGAACTCTCTGCAGCAATACCTGCATCGAACCGATCCATCTGGTTTCCTCCTCCGCACCCATGTTGCATCCAACACCATGCCCTTCTCATAGGCCACAGGAATGTAGGTCTCATACTTGTCCATCTTGTTGAACTCCTCCTCGTCGCCCTCTTTGATCTCTTCAGCTGAGAGGGGCTTGTTCTCCTCGTCACCTGAGTCCACGCGCACATCTTCCACCTCCTCTTCACCAACCACGATGTCCTCCGTCGGGTTGTAGAGCGCACCAACAAAGATTCCTCCCACGCGTGCTTTCTTTTCAGGTCTTTCATCTCCTCCGCCTGACCAAGCTCGTCTTGCTGAGATCTGGACATCCATAGGTGCTTCACCTGAGGTAGTGTGCCAAGGCCGCACAACGCCGGAACCAGTTGCTTCTGCAGTCTCTGGGACCTGTGTGTCTTCTGCCACTTCCAGTCGAGGAGTCTTGCTCTGGACTTCGCCTTCTTCTTCTGCTGGAGCAATCTGAGGTGTGGGAGGCAGAACAGCTTCTTGCTTTCTCTTGGGTCTGCCGACGGTGGCGCCTTGGTCCCAAGGAACACCCATCACGCTGTCCATGAGCTCCCTGTCACGCCGTTTGGCTTCAACTGCAAATCTTCGAATTGATCGGGCTGAAATCGTGCCCTCCTCGGTGCCAATCAGGTATTCTCCACTGGTCACACTTCTCCCAAGGAAGATGCCTTTCCTCCATGTTGTGTCGCCCTTCGTGATGACGTTCCTGTTGTGTGATCTTCTGCTTTTGCTCGCGGGGATCTTGACCAGGACTGTCTCTGCGAAGGGTACCAGTGGTGCCGTGTAGCTGGTATCGAAGGCGTCTTGGTAAGCTGTCCTCTGGTTCGCCTTCACTGCAAATCTGCTTCGAATGATCTGCTTCGAATGATCGAGCACCATCTCACCAGCCAAGGCCACAGGTTGTGGGATGTGTGCAGTGTCATGCCATACTCTGCCTCAACGCAGTATCTCAATGTCAACACATCACCTCGTAGGAGTCGTTGAAATGCTCCCATATGTCCAAGGCTTTGGCTCGAATACCTTGGAACTTCTTCAAAGATGATCTTCAGTCCAGCCACCAGGAGCCTTCCCTTCTCGCAGGGCCGCTGCAATCTTGGCCACAACCTTCTTGATCACAGGCTCATTGTCGCTCCTCAGTTTCACTGTGGTGTAGCCGAGCTGGGTGATGAATGAGGTAATCACTCTCACAACATATGGCATCTCCAAGTTCTTGCCAGGAATGCTGAGAGCCAGTGCCATGCCGGTGCCACTGTCGACGATGGAGAGGACTGTGTCGCTGCTGTCTTCGCTCTCTGCCAGGCTGGTGTCCGTCTTCGAGAACGAATAGTCCAGCTCAAAGTGGTTGTCTGCCAGCTTCTGCTCAACCGTCAGTCGACGATGTGGCTCATCAGAGGCATGACCACGTGCGCAGTACTCACACCAAGCTGCCGGGGGGATGTGAGTGATCAAATGTCTCTCAACTTCTTCGGTGTCCGGCATCTGAGGAACCGGAACGTAGTTCGCATCAGGTTCACGACCTTCTTGAAGAGCCTGTTGCCGGGCGCTCTGCTTCTCCACATAGTCTCGTGCTTTGGCTTGCCTTGCCCTCAAAGCTGCTTCGGCCTTCTTCAGCCGTTCCCACAAGGTGTGCTTGTCTCCGTAGATGGGTTCATCCAACTCTCGAAGCCTTTCTCGCAAGTCAGCCACCTGGGTCTGTTAGCACGGGCGTGAGCTTCATCTCGAGCAAGCTCATCAGGTAGGGGCACCAGTTCCATGCCTTCCTCCTCATCGACAACACCTGCGTACTCCCAATCATATTCTTCTCCTTGACCTTCAGCTGGGGTCGTCACTGCATTTGGCATAGCATCCATTGGCATTGCCTCATCATCTCTGACCTTGATGTAGTACGAGTTCTTGTAGAGGTACAAGGGGATCTTGTAGTCCAGGTCAGGATGCGACAGGAATGGGCGGAACCTGTCAGTCAAGTCTGCAGTGAACCCTCTTTTGCTCATCTTGCCAACACTCACAACATCCTTGCTGGCATTCTCACTCACCTTGAACTTGGTGATCACGTTGAGGTACTGGTGGTTCTCGCCGATGATCTTGAAGTAGACTCGCTTCCTGCCAAGTTGCCCCAAGCTCTGCCCTGAAATGCCGAGAAGCTGGGCGTCGCTCTTCATGGTGTACTTGTCTCCACCAAATGAAGGCCTGCATAGATGCTCATCACTGCCAGAGGCGCATAGGAGGTACTTGAACTCTTCATTGGGCCAACTGTGTCCTAACAGGTGCCAGTCTGAAACTCCTTTGCCAAGGGGCTTGTTGTCCTGGGTGTGAATCATCATGACCCATCGAGCGTCATCGTAGTCGTCCTCGATGTCGAAGGTCTCCTCAGAGGCATCAGCCCAAGAGACACGTGGTTCGGAGTCATCCAGCCAGTAGTACACCGCGTTGGCGCTTGCAGTGCCTCCTCCGCCAGGGGATTGTGATCCTGAAGCTGCTGCAGAAACCTGGGTGGCCGTCACAGCATTGGTGCTTGACCCTTTTCCTTTTCCGCCACCGCCTGATTCTCTCTTGGCCTTGTCTTTGGCCAGCAACCTGCAGTCTGCTTTCTTGTGTCCCCACTTGTAGCAGTAGGAGCACTCGCCATTGAACTTCTTGGGCTGCGTCTTGCTGCCTTTGGCTTTGTCGAACTTGCCGCCCTTGTTGACTCCCTTGTCCTGCTTGCCAGGCTTGCCTTTCTTCCCTTCGTCGCCACCTTTGTCTCGACCGATTGCACCAACACCCATAGGTGCAGGGCCGCCATCATCTCTTGTGGTCTCACCACGATTCGTGTAGTAGGAGCCGCTCTGGAGGAAGTCCCGTAGGAATTTCTTTGCGCGCTCGAAGTTTGTGCCAATCTGTGGACCTGCCATCCGCATAGCTGACCTCACTGAAGGTGGGCTGTGTTTCATCAGCACTGCAATCTTCGTGGAATCGGACACTTGTTCCCTGCTCTGAACTTCATACCTTCGGATCTGAACCTCCCAGGTCTCCATCGCCTCGAGGAAGTCGATCTCCTTCACCGTCTCCCATGCTGGGGCTATGATCCCAGTCAACATTGCTGTATGCCGGCCACCGATGTCCGGCTCATAGGCCTCGCACAAGGCCTTCCATGCTGCAAAGCCGTTGCCGCTCTCCACATTCATCAGGACAGACAAAGCTCTGCCCTCGACCGATTGGGTCAACAGGTTGAACAGGACCACTGCTTTCTCCTGCCCGTTCTGCCCCATGTCCGCCAGGATCAGGTCAGAGTACCTGGGTGCTTGTTCAGCTGCTGTGATCATGGCGTGGTAGCCGGGGTCCAACAAATTCAAGTAGCCTCGGGCCACAAATGCCCAGGGAGGCCAGCCTTCCTCCTTGCCATTGAACATCCTCAGCTTGCCGATGGCGCGGGTGTCGATCAAGCCGCCGCCGCCGCCAACAGCAAATCCAGGTCCAGCCATCTGCTGCAAGGTGCCTCCGCCGGATGGTGAGCCTCCCACAGGCGAAGCGAAAGCTTGTGGAGGCGTGCCGGGAGCCGCCGCCATGAGCGCTGCGTACCGCCACGGCGCTTTGGCCTGGACTTACGTCGAATCCCTCCTGCGGCCACCTTCTCGGGCTTCACGCCGTCTTACGGAGGGTGGAGCCGGGCACCCCTGGACCCAGCTCCGCTACCATGCAAGCGGGTAGCGCGCTGTTTTGGACCTCAAAGGGGCTAGGTATGTATGAGGTTAGTTGACTGTACAGGATGACATGTACCGCTCTGCAAACGCCCCTTTCACTAATCTTGACTACCGCAAATAAAAGAGGTTGCTCATATACAGTAAGAGGTCTTTTTAGAGATCTTTAATTACCAGCGTAGCAAATGGAAACAAATTGCAGTGCTTGCAAGCTTGAATTTTCAACGCGCTATTTCATCCTACTTCTGCGTCAAGTTGCATTTTCAACGAGCTCACTGGCCACTTGCTTAGCCTTGCTGATGGTGATGATCTCCGGCAGGGCTTCTTTGAGCATCTCTGCGAAGTCATCAACGGCTAAAGTCCGCAGACCCAAGCGGATGCTGACCTAGTTCCGTCTTGCCAAGTTGTGTCCCACAAAACAGTTACGTACTCAACAGGATTCAAACAGTGAATGCTACCTAATTCTACCAAAGTGTTGGGTCAAGCTTGTTTGTGCGTTCCAAGAGACTGGTTTCCAAAACTTCCAGCGAAACTGCTGTATTGGAGCGCTGATGATTACACCCCACAGGTCGCTGGTTTTCTTTTCAGTTCGGGTCTTCGTGTTGTCCTTAACGACCCTCTTCAAAGCTGTTGCCGCATAGAGCGCAGTATGCGCATTTCTCTTTCTGCCTATTCTATAGACTGCTGCAAGTAGAACAGCGTGCACTTCGCCTTGCAAGCAAGCACACGACACACCCATTAAGCTTTTCAGTGGCTTGGCAGTGGAAAATCACAGCGATCAACTGTACGACATGGGACGAGTTCTCAGCAGTCCATGGACGTTCAACTGGTTGAAATTCGTCTGGCCAGTGGCCCGCTGCCATGCAGCCCGCTGGGGTGGCTGAGTAGAAGCCGGAAGCGAGGGCCAAATCAGCTGAGTTGGTGGTCTTCCCAACATCATCAAGGCCATCGCTTGTGTGATTCAAAAAGTGAGAGTCAAGGATAGTCAAGGTATGTCAAGGTCTTTCGATTCGTGCCATGTGTTGCGATTTGTGCTCGGATGTGCTCGGAGCTATCTGTCTCTACCAAGTCAAGACACACTTGGACTGCGGCAACCAGGAAACATGCATTGCTGCATTGTTGATTTCTTCTCCATGCAAGTCTTGCGCCTGCCGTGCTTGAAAAAAGCTTAGATAAACAGCTGCTGGAAAAATAATGCGCTTCTTTGATTGGGGTTCAATTTGGTGGAGACTAGTCACTCTGTTGCAGACTCCTGGCCGCGTCGCTCGAAAATGTCCATGTACAACCTGCAACAAACGTGCTTTGTGACCATCTGACTCCGGCTCCCCGCGGTAGACACCATCTGCCTATGAAGATTGTCCACGAGCTTTGCAAACTCCTCTTCGTGCACCTGAAGATTGACAAAAGTCACTGACAAAGTTACACAATACGTAACATATCGTTTCTGGAAACAATTTTGCAATTCGCGAGCCTCGCTAAACTTGCCCACGGCCATGCCTTCACAGAAACATTAGCGCCCCATTCCTCAAAGTACTCTCATCTACAAATGTCCAAGTTCCGGTACTGTTCTTGCGTCTCTGCAATGGGAATTGTTGTCGGCTGAACAAGCTGCAAGCATTTAGGAGACTTGGATGTCAGTGGAATGCCACGTTGAGCTCCGACCAGCACGAGAGGCAATGGGAAATTGAGGGCTTCTTTGAGTCTGCTACTTGTCTTGTGATGCAAGTTCATTTGGACCCTGCTCACAAACCATATTATAGATTATATGTGTGGGGTCGCAATGTCTCGCTGACAGACTCCAGCGTCATAAAGGTCATTCAAAGGCACGTGATGTTGAATGCAACTGATATTGATTGATCTTTCCGCTCACCCCAAACTCATGAGGGATTTGGCCTGATTTCATTAGCTCCAGCAGTTTGACCTAGATGCCAAGACATCGAACTACATTCTCGAGCACAGCCCGTTCCGTTTGAAACTCAGTGCAAAAGCTGGGGCACCAGCGCAACCATGCTCTGCCAAGGAGCCTTTGACCTCAAGGCCTCTCCATGGGCTATCCTGCTGGCTCGCACCGAACGCGTCAAGTTAAAAATGCATGGAAACCACAGCGGAACATGAGATAACATGACTCACATGAGTGAGCAAAAACACAAGCTGTATGTATGTATTTTGTTGAATCTCAGGCTCAAGAAATGGCCACGCTCATCCTTGTGAGCCAAAAGCGAAGTCATTGCCCAGTTCATCTGCCTCGGATTAATAATAGAGAATAATTGAGAACTCTCATGAACTTTCTGATGATTGAATGAGAGTCGGGCTTCAAAGAAGTGCGGCATCTGCGGACGTGGCGTTGGACGGTCTTTGAACCTGAGGAAACTGGCTTGACTGTCGACTTTGCAGTCCAAATGGCGTTGTTCGCTGCAACAGTCGGTTCCCTCTGAACAACAGAGTCCACTAAAGCATAAACGCAGGCGCTGGAAGATACTTGAGCCTTGCTTGGACCCAGACTCTCGTTGAGCAAGTCCATCAGCTTTGGCTCCTTAAAAATGGCCGCAGCGATCCTCTGCCAGTTTTGGTATGAGGTCAGGAAACATAGTTAAGATCCTCATGCTGGATGCGGCAAGCCCATTCAATCTCTTGAGTTACCAAGGACAGGGCTTCGAGCATTGTGAAAGCACCTCCTGCTGCACTTTTGCTGACCTTCCCGGTTGGCATTGTAGATCCAAGCTCTCGCAATAATCCAAACAGGATGTACTGTATCCAGTGACAGGTCGTGCAATCGTGAGTGGTGCTACACACCAATTGTAACATACTTGAAATGTCAGAGTGATGGTCTTTCAGAATAGAGTAGCTAAGTACACTTCTCTCCCAACCTTTGGCTCTACCAGCAACGGCTTGACTTTGTCTAGGAACTTGTCAGCATACTTCGGACTACGCTCCTCGGAATCACCAAGCACTCCAGTCTTGCTGAAGGCTCACAAACTAACACCCCTCATCAAATCCTGGGTGCCGCACCAAAATCTGCTCAACACTAAGACCTCGCCTCTCCTCCATGGCTGCTGAGCATCGGTTTTTAGGAATGTCAATCAGTTCAAGAGGTTGGCTATTCAGGGTGATTCTGCTGTTGAACCTGCATAGGCCCATAAATCAACTTGCAGGAGCAGTCCTTGTCCAGCTCTCCGTCATCCTCTTCTGAAGAGATATCTTGGAAAATATTGAACCTGAAAGTCGAGATACGGAAGAGTGAAAATCACCAGCTGGTGTTTTTCATCAAGAATCACTGGTGTCTATGGCCATGGCTTGTGGGCAAGCTTCCGGCCATCACCACGTGTGGCTCGACCATCTTGGTCCTGCAACAAATCTTTGATTCATGTTGATTCGTCTAAGTGGGATGGAATCAAAGTATATACAGGTTTCGCAGAATCACTCCAAACCCGAAAATTGCTCTCAGAGAGCTGTTGTTTGCCGTGTGTGTGTGTGTTTTCTCTATGTCTTCACACCACTACCACCACCGCCGCCGCCGCCACCAACACGCCCACCACAGCCTTGTACAATGCTGCTTTGAAACCAGTTTGACTAGTCTTGACTGCCCCCCTTTTATCAAGATTTCCTGGTGAAACTATTTCAAAATACTGCCAACAACAAATGTGCAAGTGGGGTAGTCTACATGGAATTCAATTGCATGTCCGCGGCTGGGAATAGTACATATATATAATACTATATACACACCAACATACACAGTGTATAGTATTTTATTAGTGGTTTTGCCTGATGCAATAGAGATGCCCGGAGGCTCTTTGGCCTTTTGCCCTAAGGCGCCAGAACTAAAAAGGAGGGCCGGAGAGGAAAGGATTGCCATTCGTGTCCTTTTGTCTTCCTTTCTCAAAGCAATTCCGCATAAAGGACTTCGTATGCCTAGCCTTCCTTTTGTTTCCCCTGGAACTGTTTTGGTGGACCTTTGACTATCCGTCCTCCCTCAATTGTTGACAAATCAAGATTCCACAATCCCGCATCATTCTCTTCTTTGTATTCAGGGCTAGCAAAGGGGTGAGCTCTGGTACGCTTGAATGCAACGAAACAGCTTTGTCGTTGCTTTGTGTGATGCCTTTCAGCGATGACCGTCCTTCTGGACTTCAGACCAGCCCACCTCTGCCGCCTGCACCAAAAGTATCAGCAAAAACAAATCACAGAAATGAACATGTTAGAAGCTGTCTTATGTCTTGTCGCCCAAGTCACGTCTCACTTGTCCCTTGGCATGTCATTTGGCATCATTTGGCCACAAAAGCTCTTTTCCCGCGCGGCCCTCTGAATGCTGCGTCAAAAGAAGAAAATGTCTCTTTGTCTCCTTTGCATCTTGAACTGCTTATATAATTACAGTAAATGCCATCTGATAGCTCTACCTCGCTCTACCTCAAGTCTATGTCTGAATCTGATTGCTTATTTGACCTCCAAGGCTGCACACCTTGTCACTTGTGACACAGAGACGCGCAAATTACAGATTGGCTGAGATCCGTTTGGAAAATGTGGAGAAAGCCGAAGGCGGGAGTTTGCTCACGCAGCACCGCACTTCCGCAAAACTTTCCAGAACAAATGGGAAGAGCAGCAAGAGTCGCGTTGTTGCCATGCTGCTGAAGGGCTCAACCTGTGCCGCTGTTGCGATCCTCATTCCTTGCCCAGACTTGCCCTATTGCTACAAAGGGACACCTCTATCAAGTCTAATTACATCTGTCGTGCTTCTATCTGGAAGTCAATATTATACAAATATCATGCACTGAGGGGAACACATGAATCCTGGAAACTGCTACAGTATCTCAAGCAGGGGGTCAAATCATGGTTGATGATTGATTCATCATGATTTGGGTGTAAACAGTGAAGTTTACATCTGGAGCACAGGTCACGGTTCAAAGGTCGTTTGTCCAGTGCGTGTGTGAAGAAGTCATCCGCGTTCAACTAGATCATCCCTTAAATGTTTTTCAAGCCAAAACTGTTTTTGCAGATTGTCGCGTGCCTAACCAACGTCAGTGTGTGCTTGCTGAATCATCCAAAGCACATCATATATCCTTCATCGATTGACCTAGGCACAAGGGATCCCTTGAGTCAATATCAACGGTCAAGTTTCATTCAGTGCCTGGCCATCTACTCTGGCCCTTGTCCAGCAAGCTCCTGAAGTGCAGATTTGAAAAAATGAAACCGTGGCATGATGATGTGGTGGATGATGTGATATTACGGTATGTGAAATTAGGTATGATAATAAAGTGAATCTCAAGGAATCGAATCTGTTCTTTGGTTATTTTACTGATTGTTGCTTGTTGAGATGTTGCAATCGTTTTTGGTAACATGTCTCCTGGATGTATGTGATGTCATCCCAAGGATGGCGGTAAAGAGGCTGCTTCAGCCTCAAACAGAAAGATCAGGTTCATTGTTCCTTGAAGTCGTACTGAACCAACGGAATAGAACAACTGCATCCGACAGCCTTATTACAATCAACACGGCCGTGTCAAGTTGGCCGAGACCATCAACACCAATAATATTTGCATCGGGTGTAAGATGTAAGTTCCAAACAAGCGGTTTGCTGCTCATGTTTGCGTGTTGAAACTATTGCAAGAGCCTGAGCTGGTCGAGGTAGTGTCCGATAAAGCCAATGGATCGACCTGCTCGCAGGTAGATGACAAAAAGCCACCAGTGCAAACGCACAAATCAGTGCAGCAAATCAAACGCACTTCTACAGGCGAAGCTACACAACAGCTGTGCCTAAAACGAACAGGCCATTGAGGCAGCCAAATGCCATGAGGTCATCGCACTCTTCCTAGAGCATCATCCAAGTCTGAGGCCAGGTGAATGAACTCGTCCAAACACACTTCACTTGTCATGTTTGTTGCACATCACCTTGATGCCCTCAGGGTCCTTTGAGAATGCACCGCAGGAACGAATCATGTCCACAAAAGACCTCAGAACGTGGTAGTGGTCGCACCTCACGGTTTTGTGAATTGTGGTCGTTGATGGTTGTGATTGTATGATATTTGGGGCATCACAGTGAGGAGAGTGACCTGGCACTTCCTTCGACGAGGCACACAGCAATGCAGCCGTCAACGTTCAGGATCAAGTTCGCCCTCTTGCGGGTAGTGATCTGTTCCTCAGCATCTCAAGGTGCATATCTGGAGCCGTGTAAGAGCTTGTATTGAGGGAGTTGATGGGCAAACATGTCCATCTACATTTACAGTACCAGTCTTGAAATTGACCCTTCTGGCATTTCTGCAGAGCTGGGAGCATTTAATTCGATAGAGGCCTTTCTCTTTGTGCAACTGTATAGCAGCATCATCAATCCCGGAGTACTGCCAAGATGCCACTGCCAGGGCATAGTCCAGAGTCGGCGTGGATTTGAAGTTCTTCTTTGCAAAGCCCTTAATGATTTCGACCTGAAAAGGGGCTCTTGCACAGGATCAAAATGGTCTATAGGGGGTTCACTTGTATCCGGGCCATGGCGTTGGGTCTAGGAATTCACCCACATCCAGATTGTGTGAAAGAGAACTAGGTATCAGACTCGTTGGTCGGGGTTGGCCAAGGACTTGATGCGATGTCCAATGCCCATGATGAGCTGATTGCTCTTCTTCATCTTCTCAATCCAGTCCTGTGAAAATAGCTTTGAAAAGGTGTCTTGCATTGACAAAGCTTTCAGAACTGTCTTTCCCGCAAACCAAGGTCTTTGACTTTTCTACGTTTCACGGGTCCTTAGGTGCGACACCGCTGCCCTGCGCTTCAGCGAACCTGGGTAGAACCAGGATTGGCACAATCAATATCAATCAATGGTGGGTCGATATCGATATCTCAACATCTCGTGCTGCGACACTCTTTGATCATTTTGATCCTCCAATTGCAAACAAGAAACATTTTGGCGGCATCATCCAGGGCACCACCGAAGCGAGGACCAATGGTCAGCAAGCCGCTGCAAAGGGAAGACACGAGATCCTTTCCTAGCGCAAAGCATGCTCTAGGCTCATCTTGGCTCTGGCTGTCAATCTTTCTTTTACAGTTTCAAGTGTCGTAAAGAATCCCACTGTTGCTTTGATTCATGATCTCTCATGCAGCATGCAGAAACCACACCTGCACGGGCTGTGACAATGGTGTTGTGTGCTCCGCTCACAGCAGGGCCGTGGTCTGCAGTAACCATCAAGATCATCTCAATGAACTTTGTGCAGTAGTCCTTAGCTCAAACATGAGACCAAGCCCAGGCATCTGACTTCTTGACGTGCTGAAACACAACTGCTTTTCTGTTACTCGACGCAATACAGAATACATGTCCAAACAGTTGTACAAAATCAGCCCCAAGAGCGAAAGCCACGTTCTACAATACTGCTGTAAGTGAAAGACTCCACAAACACAGGCACCAAACGCGGATTGGCCAGTTAAATTAACACTACAAGCACTACAGCAAGAAAACTGAAAGGAAGAAGGACTTTGTGTGGTTGCAAATGCACCCCTCGTTATTGTTGATTCGTTTCATTCCTTGCAGTTAAAGATCAATTTGACGGTCTGTACTATACTTTCAATAGTATAATTAAAGGCATTTAAAGGCAATCGTTATTTGCGTCTTACGGTTTGGCTTTTGGCTTCTTGTTGCCCACGTACTTGCGTGGCGTGTTCTGGTGCTGCCTCCAGTCTGTCTCTCGCTCACCCACGGATTTGTAGGTGGTGTGGCTGGGAGATTGGGGTAAAGCGTTTTGGGACCAATGGGTTGAACGGTTTAGGAACAAGTGCCACGCTAGTAGTAACAGGTGCCTTACTAGTAAGTAACAAGAAGCTACTAGGAACAAGTGCCACGCTAGTAGTAACAGGTGCCTTGCTAGTAAGTAACAAGAAGCTACTAGGAACAAGTGCCACGCTAGTAGTAACAGGTGCCTTACTAGTAGTAACAAAAAGCTATTAGAATTGAAGGTCTCAGAATAGCAATGGAGGCTGGCTTCTGCTGAAGCCTCGAGTGGACATGTGCAGGCTCCAGACACTCCAACACGGGAGTAGTAACAATAAGCTACTAGTAACAAGTGCATCGCTTCTAGTAACAAGTGCCTTACTAGTAGTAACAAGAAGCTATATATGTGATTCTAATAGCTTCTTGTTACTACCAGTAAGGCACTTGCTACTAGAAGCGATGCACTTGTTACTAGTAGCTATTTGTTCCTAATAGATTTTCTTGAGGTCACGAACTTCATGCACATCACGCACTCACCGATCACTGGTTCAGTAGCTTCAGTGCGTTCCAAAATCACAAAAAGTATCCAAAAAAACTACCATGCGATCACGTGCAGAGTTCTTCAGTTCTCCTAGCCTTTAATCATCTGTAATCTATGCTTCAAATGGATATGTTCAGCAGTTTTCCTTGTCATTTCTGATTGGTTGAAGTTGTACAAAGTAGAGCAGAGCAGTAGAGCAGTGCAAAACGCGGTTGGTACTCGTCTGCAAGGAGGACTCATAAAGTAAACTTGAACTGCAATCCTGCGTTCTGAGGCCTTTTCTGGGAGCTGTCTGCGGAACCACAGAAGGGACAGCACGCCACCGATGCCGATGTCCTTTGCTTACAATGCACAGCGCAGTCGTGTGAAAGCTGCAAGTTGGAAGCTGAATTGGTCCTTTGTGAAGACATCCGAGATGGACATACCGCAGTAGGTAAGCTCCTACACTGGCTGATCCAAATCTTTGACAATCTCTCGCAGCAAGTGATGTGTCTAACGCAGTACCTGCAAAATAATCAAAATACAGAATGGCACACCACGGCAAAATGTGATGGAAAATTGCTCCTACCTGATCGTGTCCTAAGTGAGGCCACCACGTCGCTCAGCCCATGTTCACATGGGCTACTCCCAAACGAGATGCTGGAACATCTGCAAGGCATTAAAGAATCCCAATTGTGTTCCAAATTCTTGTATGAGCTTTTCTCAAGGCCCCGCAAGGTGTCCGAATGTCGGAATGTCCTCTCCACGATCATCAGAAATCGAGGAAATGAAGTTTGCAGGCTTCCTCAGGTATGACATTGATTATCATGTTCTTGTTTTAGCAGCACAGGAAAATCGAAGGCGATATCTAAAGCTGCACACTCACTATAACTTGCCTGATCATGCCCAACTTCTTTGCCCAGGTGTAGTCCATTGGCACCTGGTCATTTGCTGCTGGTCGAACAATCGAACCGGATAATACCGAATATAGAAACGAAGGGGCAGGTTCTCACCTTCAGAAAAATCTTCCCTGCCTGTGGAGTCTCACCTTCAGGGGTCTCAACGATCTCACCTTCCTCCACAAGCTGAGTGTAGACCTGCACGCATTCACTAAGTAATGGCAACGCGGCAAACACAAGAAAACACTCCTCAAGCACCTTGAAACAAAGGGCTGTCACTATGTCACATACTCAAAAAAGCACCTGGTTGATCATGTCTGGCAGCTTGTCAAAAGAATCTGGCACGAAGAAGCCAGCTTCCTTCATTGCCTGGAACACATGTCAAGATCCTGGATCGTAGTATATAGATTGTACTACTGTAACGGTTACTAACGTACTATCACAGTGCCTTGATTTGTGCAAGCACATAGAGAACAAATTAATTACGTCAGTACGTCCCAAAGCCACAGATTCTTTGAGCCTTGTTCTTTGCAGCAGCGGTCTCCATGTCACCTCTGGCCTGGTACAAGCCGAGCGTCTCATCTTGTCTCATCTCTGCTCTGAATCGGCAGTTTTTCAAGCCAATGAAAACAGAGTTGAAAACTGCGCCGTACGGCAATGCAGAAGCATGAAAGCCTCTACATCACTTTGTCCTGATCCCTGTTCCTTCCGATCAACAACATAGAAGAACATGGAAGAACCATCTGCTCTGCCAGCCTGAGCGCCTGCATGACCGAACTGCACCTGATTCCAGATCACCCCGGTCGAGAAACGTGTTGTTATTTGTTTTGGCAAATGAGCGAACTTCAAGATCTTCTTGATAACAATCATAGGAGCATTGCCAGGAACTCTCTCTTGCTCTCTTTTCGGTGACGTTGGGGTGTGGGTGCTGGTAAGTCTGGAAGGCCGGCCTCTGTGGTGAAGCAGGATGCACAGGTTCCGACGCACCACGCAATCACAGGCTTGGTAATGCGGCCCTTCTTCTTGGCCTCCGGAATTTAGAAGGGACCTAATTCTTTCTTCTTGTTTCTGAGGCAATTTACACTCAAACATAAACATAATTGCAAGGGACCTAATCCTGCCTCGATCAGATCATACTCGTCCACGCCGCCAACCTCTCCCAGCAAGAGCAGCATCTTGGCCTTGGGGTCGTCCTGTAAAGTAAGAAACATTCTTCTTGTTACTACTAGTAAGGCACTTGTTACTAGTAGCGTGGCACTTGTTACTAGAAGCTCCGAAGTCACGCTCCGAAGTTTGAGACAAGCCAGGATTGAACATGATTAACACGTGACATCCAATCCTGGTAGCGGAGGAAGTGGTCCAAAAAGCGGCTTCCTGGGTAGCGGTCACCACCTTGTCAGGCCAATGAAGTAGCGTCCTTGCTCCTAGTAGCGATGCCAGGAGCCCCTAGTAGCGTCCTTGCTCCTAGTAGCTTGTGTTGTCTTGGAATGTTTGCACTCGCTATTTTGCACTCCTTGTCAGATCAATGAAATCTGAGCCTGGTACCAATGGCCACACCTTCATAGACACCATCGGAATTGCGTGCAATGATGTTGTTCAGCTCGTTGGACCTTGCAGTGTTTTTCATCTGGAACATATTAACTCATTCTTGCTACTAGGAACAAGAAGCTACTAGGGGCTCCTGGCCTTACTACTAGGAGCAAGGACGCTACTAGGGGCTCCTGGCATCGCCACTAGGAGCATTCTTAATACTTTTGGAAACTCATTAACTCGCTCGGCTTCCAGAGACCACGTCTCGACCTTCCACCAAACTGCTAAGCAGCTGGCATTCCACCAGACTTGGACACATATGCCACAGAGCCCGGGCGATACAGGCGCGACATCACAATGTTGTCCAGCCTTGAGACTCCAAATAGATCCAAGTAGTACATCCAATTAAATTGTTCTCCAAAACATGGCAGCTCTCGCGCTCTGCTCGCGCTCTCGACTTGGCAACAGACATTCCGCCGGTATTTCCAATTCGCAAGCAACCAGGCTTAATACCACCCACAGTGGCCGGGCCGATGATGCCTGGAAGGCAAGCTGGGGTTGCTTTCCCAGCACACCCCAACACCATCTAGCACCTATATACTTCTTCGAATTCGAGGAGATGCGACAGCAATCTTTGCAGCCGCGTTGCCTACACCCTTCTGCTCTGCAGCCTTGATGATGTCACGGGTCTGTTGCTCGGGAACACCCTGAGCACATGTAATTTTTCAAGTGCACTGTTGATCGCACCGCACTGTGTTTCATTTTGAGCTTTTAGAAGAGCCTCAGCAATGATGGCCATGGTCTTGAGGTTGGGGTAGTTCATCGCCTCGTTCTTTTTTTGACCGACCTCCTACTTAATTAAGTAAGGGACAAACTTGTATTCTCGTAGCTACTAGTTGGCTTCTAGATTGGATGCAGGATAGCTCACACTCGCACTACTGAATTTGGTTCGTATATTTGTAGTATAACAAATCAAGTAAAACTTAACCACGATATACCGCGATCATTGATCGTGCATTCGCATGCATTCGCATGCATTCGATGCTCAATGGGCCTCCATGGTTGTCTCATGCACTGATCGGAATGATGCGAAGTTCACGAAGACAGAGGTGTTGGGATGCTTCTGCACCGCCTGGCGCTCTAAATCACGATCCGCGGGCCGGATCAAAGGCTCTGCACAAACACCATGGCCTCCTTCGTGGTGGTGTAGACAGGCATCAAGATCTGTGCACAATGCATGCAAGCCAAGACAAAGGGCAGGTCGTATGTGATAGTTTGATATTGGTCTGGTATATGTGTGTGTGCGCGTTTTACTGTCGTCATCTTGTTCACGTTTGTGCGCATATATCGAAACAAGTCGCCTCTTCGGTGCCCCAGTAGAACTTCACCTGTAGTCGACTCCAACTGGAAGGACACTTTGCAGGATACAATAGACAGGACAAAACTGAGGATACAGAGGGTCGAAGTGTATGTAGCATCTTGCAGTCAAGGATCGTAGTGGTTGCCTCAATCGACATATATCAGGTGAGTAATATTAAGTGAGCATAAAGTGGTGTAGAGGGCATTCAAAAATCCACACCATTTTGACAAGTTGCCAGAGAAAGGGAAAATCATGGCCTCAACGGATGGCTTCTTACCTTAGCACGACACGTTCAGACCGAGGTACGGTACCGAGGCACTATGTATCAAATCAGTTTCTGATTTATCGGTGGCAAGGTGCGCTTGCACATGAAGTCGAAATCCAACATTCCTGACATCAGTTTGAATCGTCTGCAAACTTTCAAATTTAACATCAAAAGGAGTTGCCTTGTACTGCGCGGTTCTGCATGCCGTAGACAATGGAAGTAGTGTCCGGCCTTTACTCAGACTGATTGAAGTCCGAAGTCAGGTTCCACGATTTCAGAACTGAGATCACGGCGTTGCTGTAACCAAAGTGTGCTTGGTTCCTAGCATCAGTACTCAGTACCGCATGGTCAAGCTTCGTACTTACCAGTTGTATCCAGTTGTCAGTTGTCCAAGATTATTTCATGAGAAAAGGCACTCATCCCGGAAACAAAATAACTGTGATGTCTTTCACTCCATTGCTTAACTTTTGTGGGTCACTGGGGACGGTCTGCATGAAAAAACTGCAACACCTTCTCGTTGGCTGGAGGTTCCCAAGGTCCCGCCATGCATTCGCCCCCCCAAAAAAACATCAAAGGAAAGTGGTTACACATGACTTAAAGTTCGTTGCTGGCCTGCAGGTGCTGGCGGGTGACCCTTTCCCACTGGCCTCGGGACAAGTGAACCGTTGTGGGCATTTGAATACGATACAAATATAGAACAACAAAGAAATTATGATAGTTCGAGCTTCTGACTTCTTGCCCTTCAAGTCAATCATTTTGCGAACCTCTGACAAACCAAAATCAAAACATGTTCACTCCATCTTGCTCCATCTAAAAGATCTACCAAAACAATTAACATATATCATATAATATACATATATATATATAATCTCTACAGAAAGAGAGTCTTCCCTCAGCTCTTGGCAGGTGGTCCGGCAGGAGCGGAAAGGTCTGGTTCGGGAAGGGGCTCTTGGAGGCCCAAAGCCATCGGGATGATAGCGGTGATGTGGGTCTCAGGACCATACACCTTCGCCAAGTTCAGAAGATTGAACATATACAATTTGTTTGTGATAGAGGCCCATACAAAAGCAATCTGACAATTGGTTAGAGCCGGATTCGGAAACTAATCGGTCGGATTCTGAAACTGGGGTTCTGAAACTAGGATTCTGAAACTGGGATTCTGAAACTAGGATTCTGAAACTGGGATTCTGAAGCTTGTATTCTGAAACTGGAAAGTCAGATTCTGCAACTGGTCTTCTGAAACTGGAAAGTCA